AACTTTAAAAAAGCATTATAAAATTTTATGTTACATATATTTTATCACAACTAAAAACAAGCCAAAAACATGTTATTAAGTAAATAACAGCAAAGGATGGGTTACAACCAAGACAAACAGCACCAAGGTGATACACAAAATGCTGACATTTGGTAAATAAATGGCTATTGTTTGATGTTACCAGTTTGGCAAAGAGATGGAAGGTGTTCCGGTTTACTTTAATTTCCATTTTACATTATAACAAATGTAAAAAATATATGTAATAACAAACTGCATTTTTAGGGTGATAGAAAAACCTCAGATTTATAACCCTGATACTCTGAGTTAAATCAGCTTCTATGAGAATATGTAACTATCTATGACTATATATGGCTATACCTTATTACTCTAAGCCAGTACTGTATAAATGATTCCCTATAGCAAAAAAGTCTTCCCAAAAAGTTCGTAAATTGTAAGCTGCAAATGATGATATAAAATAAAAATATTCTGCAATGAAAACACTTGTGTATTTAAGTTCTTCAGTTGGGGCTAACACTAAGTAAACCAGTAAGTAGACCAAATGTCACTGATACTCCCCTCTGGCAAACAGCAGCTGTGACAAATGCTACAAAGGAGAGGTACATGGTTCTGTAAAAGGGCTTATGATCGGTGATTTCCCTAGGCAGGGCTTCTTTAAGATGGGAGGGATAGGAGCAGCAGGAGAGCAAAGCAAGAGGGACATGACCAAAGTCAGAGGAGTCTGAGGCTCAGCTGGAGAAATGTGGGTGCTCACTGGCCCGGACACGGAGTTCTCCTTTCTGCCAAGAACAGTGCGAAGGGAGCTGAAGGGTATTTAAAGTGGGGCGACCTGCCTGAGCAGATCAGTGTTCTGAAAGGTTGTGCTGGCTATAATGTGGCAGCTCTCCAAAGAGGCATCAGGAAACAGAATCAAAATTTAAATTGATAACAAACACAATAATCTAGAAACTACTGCATCTAGACCACATATATAATGACCAACAGGAAGGAAGCTCAGATAATTGTCCAGGTTTTTTTAAAGAGAAATTAAAAGACAACAGTACACTTTTATTTAGGTGTATGATACAGAAATTTTAGAGACCATGATATAAAATGTAACACTATACAAATTTAATATTATAAAAATGTAATATAAATCGAAACATCAAAAATGTCCTAACTTCTTGGTCAGACCCAAGGTGGCCTACCTACCTCAAGGGTTTTAAGAGGACTGGAGGTCGATGGAGGCCCAGATTACTTCCCCGGTTCTCACCCAGGGCTCTTCTGTTTTATATGATAGGCTTCTTCTAATAAGGTTTAAATGAAGAAGTAATTTTGCTATTGAAACCAAGTCTGAAAACTAATGGTAACACCTGTGGCCTCCAGGGCCCAGTTAAAAGATCAGAATCAGTCAGTGGGAAAGCAGTACCTCAGATGACTACACCTTAGGATTCCCATTTAGTCTAAACTTCTGATTTCCTTCCTGAAAGCTGGTACTTAGAAAGTCCCTTATCTACCTCTAATTCTCCTCAAAGACGCTCCAACTACTGGTCACGCTGGCACACCTATCAGAATTCTGACAGAGAAAGAAAAGGGGAAAGGTACAGAAATGGAAAGGCAGAGAAAAAGGATGTATACAGTCCCAACCTCGCCAGGACCTGGAGCAGAGCGAGTGCGAGTGCAGACTGGCACACTCACTCTGGAAAACTGGCAATAGCCGCTAACGCTGAGCAATGGCGCTCCTGGGGGCACACACAACAGAAACGCATGCACACGTCCATTCCCCAAAAGATATGTATACAAATGCTCAGAGCAGCAATATTTCTAGCAAGCTGCAAACATCCCACATGCTCATCAACAGCAGAATGGATAAATAAAGCAGGGCACATTCATATGGTGAATTCTGCACAGCAACGAGATAGAGCCAACTCCCGCTACACACAAAATACAAGTGCATCTCACAGGTACAGTGGGGAGGAGACGGAGCAAAAGCGTGTGCAGATGGTTTCTATTTGTAGATGACGTTCAAAAACAGATACAAATGAACAGTCCTATGTGGAAATAACTTCATCTTTACCTTAATACTAAGATCCAAATGAATCCCAGTCTTAACATATTAAGAGCCAAAAACTTTTATTAAGTAAATCTAGCAGAAAATCTTAGTGACCCTGGGCTTGTCAAAAATTTCTTAGATACAACACATAAAACATAAACTACAAAAGAAAGAAAACCCAACAATTGGATTTCATAACGATCTACGATCTGTGCACTTTCCCATATATATCTCTTCAATAAACATATTACTGAAAATTCAATGCAAACAGAAGAAAGTGCAAGCACTGAGTGGAGCCAAGACCACACAACCAGCCACTGTCATCTCCTCTCACCACTCAGGAAAGTGTGTCTCAAGTACACTGGTCCTGCAATCTCAGCCCGGGGCCGAGGTGAGGGTGAGAAAGGCAGAGGCACACCACTAACTACCTGCCCCGCCTTGTGAGCTGGGATGGGGTGATTCAGTGAAGACGGAATTCTGTTTTAAGATCTTTTTTTTTTTTTAAAGTAATCTCTACACCCAACGTGGGGCTCAAACTTACAAGCCCCGAGATCAAGAGTAGCATCTCTACCAACTGAGCCAGCCAGGCGCCCAGAAGAGGGAATTTTCTTATAAAATCTAGCTATCCTTCCACTACTGCTCTTAGTTCACCAGAGACATGGAGGAAAATACATTCAACATAAGAGCAAATAAAAAACACCATGGTCCTGAATCCTTTTCCACCAAATATCCTTTACTTCTCTCTCCCATCCTGATTTTTTAATTTTTTTTCCCCTTCCATTCCCCTTTTCTTCCAGGCTTCTCTTTTTGCTTTCTGCAAACACACATCATTATCATATGCCCTTTTTCTTTCACTTAAGAGGCTCCAAAATAAAGAAAGGAATTAAAATACACACAAAAATAGCACAGGTTCTGTATGTGTTTCACACGCCCTTCTTATGCTGGGGTAGGGAAAACAATCTCTACCACTTGTCACCTATCCTGTTGATACAGTACTGGCAGAACGTAGGCCACAGTGCCAATATTTTTATGATACTTTCTCCCTCTTCCTTTCTCTCTTCTTCTGAAAAAGGTAGTTAGCAATTTATAAATTCAATTAAGTGCTAGCTATGTGGATGCTAATAACCTAAGCTAGCACTTATTTACTACAGTATAAAGACCCCTTTTAACCCCCCAAAATGTCAAACACATTACACACACATACACATACACACATACACATACACACACACACACACACACACACACACACACACACACACACACACA